GGTGGGGGGAGGGAGCAAGGATCTGGGGAGAAATGGGTGGGAATGGGGGGGGGGGGAGGCGGTGGAGGGAGCGCTGCATGTCAGGAGGAGATCAGGAGTAATGTTATTTACCGATCCTCTGTGTGCAGAACAAACAATGGAGTGATCAGCTGATCACGCCTGTCTTTGTAAACAACTAGGGACACTTAGTACTTCCTGTTCATGCATAGGTTTCTCAATGGGTGGAAACCTCAGTATAGAGGCTTCTACCCATTCATAACTGGGTGATAGTAAAAGATTTACTATCACCCAGTTATGAATGGGAAGCCTCTGTACTGAGTGATTTCCATTCACTAAGTGCTGAGGCTGCAGAAAAAAAGATTGAAGACTTAATTTCTTTTTTTTATTTCAAAAAGGAAATATCTGGGGTCTGTTTAGACGCCTGATATTTCCCCAAAGCCCCTCCAACAGTAAAAAAATAATAATATTGAAAAAATAAAAATAAATAAAATAAAACACACACCCCTCCCCCCCACAAACAGATAGCATACACATGCACCATATTGTGGTGTACACCATGCATATGCACTGTGGTGTGTTAGAATGCATGGCAGTGCTTGATTTTTTATTTTTAAAATAACATTAATTTAACTGTGTGGCAGCACATGGCAAAGCGTTGTGATGCATTGCTGTGTGTAATGATATGCTGTGTTGCAATTAAATGTAGCCCTGTATCATTTTATTACAACAAACACAGTGCACAAATGATTCTTAACATTAAATTGCTTATTTACAGATTTGCATTACTTCATTTTTTTACTGTTTCGTAAAAAGGCGCAATTTGAAATTTACAAATATCTGTTATTTATTAACTCAATACAGTTTTATCTTTTAGGTTTAGTCAGAATTTTTTTGTGCATTGATGCTGATTTTAGTGTGCTTTTATCAATGTTATTGTTTATTTTTATCTGTTTATAATTAAATTGATAAACACTTGCGCAATTATCACAGGACCTACAAACTTAGTAGCACCATCTTTTATTCTACTGGGCCTGTGCTTTCAGAAAATATATGGCTTGGGGGGGCTTTTACAAATGCTATCAACACAGCAGTAGAAAATCAAAACAGTGGGAAAAAATATAAAAATGGTGTGGCCAGATGAGGTTAAAAGTGTTTTGGAGGGCTTGGCAGCAAAAGGGTTAAAGATTAAGACATACAAATATTTTGTGTTTTTTTTCCCTTTCATGTTCCAGCCTATAGCTAATACTGCCAATGTTTCAGTTATCAAAATATTTCCATTATGACTGGAGAAAATATGAAATAGCTTTGAGAAAGCTATGCAAATGCGGAGGCTACTTTTCCCAAATGTCTTAAAAAGCACGGCAATAGATGCCCTGTATTACCATATTACTTGCATCTTTTTTTAAACAGTCTATTGCTTTGAATAATGTAGGTTATGAAACTCTAAAAATACACTGTGTTCTGTAGATAGAATGTCAGCGTGAACCAAATAGAAAATAAAAAGAGGTAGCTTAAATATTTTTAGCTGTGCTGTCAGCAAAAAAATTCATAAAAAGTGCAATAAATGCACACAGTAATATTGTGTAATGTGTTTGCTTATACTAAAACCTGAAAGAAAAAAAAACTGCTTTATTGTTCTTAGAATGGGAAGGTGTTTATCCCAGCTATAATTTCATGTTATTTCCTGCATGATCTATGAACAAAGAGTGGTTTGTGATTCTTCATTGTTTGCAGGATGTTAATTTATAGTCCTTCAGTCTTTATCATCTTTTCATTTATTAGCATGTAATTAAATTAAATTTTTCCTAATACTTTAGCAATAATGCTAATCTAAATCATTTTTATATCTAAAAAATAAATTTGAACAACATATACACATTGATTTTTTAAATTTCTTTTTCTCAGTAGTTGATCACACTGATAATTAAACAACTATAATATTTTTTTCTTTATTAGAGAAATGTACAGGACTCGAAAAATCCACTCGTCTGCTCGTCTGTGACGAGCAGACAGTGGAGCCCGACGAGCAGTTGTAATTACACGGCCGGCCGGGAGCTTTACAGTCAAGCGATCGAGCGTCTCGAGAGACGCTCGATCGCTTGTATCAGAAGCTGTCACTGCCGTTGCCGGTCCCGAGATCCGCTGTGCCCGATGCGGCCGGGACCGGCACGGCTTTGTGACAGGAGATCAAAGGGAGTTCAGAACACGAACTCCCTTTGATCTCCTCTCAGTCCCCGAATGCAGGAAGTGATGTATATTACATCACTTCCTGCATTCAGTGTCACTCTCCAGCTAGAGAAGCTGATGAAGCCTATCTCTGCTTCATCAGCTTCTCTGGAGGTCCCTAGGTGACGTTAGGGGTCTTGGAGACCCCTGATGTCTCCATAAAGAGGACTTGTCATGTAAATTGGCTATCCCATGGGGGGCTTCTTAGCCCCCCATGTAATAGCAATAAAGTTGTATGTAAAAAAAAAGTAATACAAAAATGAAAGATTGATAAAAAAATAAAGCATAACATTTATTTAAAAAAAAAAAATTCACGCCCCCCACATACACACGCATATATGCTTTAGGTGCATACGTGACCCCGACTTTTATGTTTTACTAAAAATATGGGTAAGAATAAATGTTTTATAACATAGGGAAACTTTTTTGTTTTTTTTTTACATTTATGGTACTTTTTAAATTATATAGTAAAAAAAAATACCCCCGTTGAAGAAGAGCTCTGTAATTAAGCACACTTCAACAAGCAGTCATGACAAAGGTCACACTGTGGCACTGTTTGTTGTCACAACACCATGACTACTCAATAAATAAGTTTCTAGCTACATAAAGTATAAACCTTTAATTAGAAATTTAAATAATTACATTTATTGGGGTTAATTGAATCATCCCATGGCTCCCCATCCTCCTTTTATAATAAGGAAGCCATAATAAAGGTGTATTGTGGTAGATGAGCTTAAAAAAAAGAACAAATCTGGGCACAAAACAGAGGCGATCATATGCCAAAAGGTGTAGCATCTTCACATACACAAGCATTGTGTTTATAAAGACCACATGTTCCATGAAGAATAGGAAAAGTACAACCAAAATGGCTCTTGTTAGGAAGGGCATATCTTATTAACCCCTTCGTGACTGAGCTTGTTTTCCATTTCTGTTCGTAAATGACTGACACACTTTTGAAATTTTTGCTGTGTGATTTTTCCACATCAGTAATATACTTTCTTACAGTGCACCCACACATATTATATATTGTTTTTTAGAGGACAGATAGGGCTAAATATTTATATCACATAAGTGTACCTAACGCCTCACTTAGGACAAATAAAATATAAAAAAAGGAAAAAAGTAAAGAAAACCCCCAGTTTTGATTTGTAGTATTTTTTTTTTAAATAGCACAGCTAAAAAAAACCGTTTAAGATATATATAAAAAATATTTTTTTGTTTTAGATTTAATCATGAACTACTCAGTCCAAGTGCCACAAAAATACTTTGACTTTGCTAGATTTGTTGTCAAAACATTCACTTGTCTAATTGGACAGTCTATACTAATTTTGTAAAGCAACCCCATAGGGTGATGGTAGAAATTTGTATTACAGTAAAATCTAGGCTCTACAAAGAACATTTAGCTCTGAGTTGCTACTTGTAGATTACACAATCAAAAAAAGTTGTTTATTTATCTGAGAATATTGGTTAGCATTACTCTAAACTGCTATTAGTTAGACTAAATAAGTATATTAATTGATGCTGTAAAGACAATCTCAAATATGTATATTTATTAATAATATATTTGTTATTTCAGGATTTTTGAGTACAGGCGATCAAGCAGCTAAAGGAAACTATGGATTACTTGACCAAATACAAGCTTTGCGATGGATCGAAGAAAACATAGGAGCTTTTGGTGGAGACCCAAAACGAGTTACTATTTTTGGATCTGGGGCTGGAGCATCCTGTGTAAGCTTATTAACCTTATCCCACTATTCTGAAGGTAATTTTGTTATGTTTTACCTATATGTCTACAACAAAAGTTGAAATTGCTGCCATTCAGATTATAAGTTCTAATACACAACAGTTTATACAATTAGGGCTGTATTTCTAGGAAAACATCTTAGAAAAATAGAAGAAGACACATAAAATTTGTAGATAAGGTCACAATCAGAATTCTGAATTATTATTCCATGCTTCATTTACAGTGCTTGCACATGCTGCCTTTTCTCCATCATTGATGAGTTATTTGTACCCAAGTGAAAAGGAAGAAGTATGTATATGTTCACAACTCATGGGTCACCATTTATTTTAATTATCATATAGTTAAATAGGCTAGATTACTAGAAATTAATATCAGCTTTCAATTGTTACAGATTACAATTGTTACAAAAAGTGCAAAAAGTAACAATCAGATTATTCAAAGTGAACAGTTTTATAGCTACCATTCAGATTTTGGTTTACATGAATTACAGGAGTAAATAAACAATTGTGACTCTGGTTATTACTTGTTTTATACTTGTTATACGTTTTCAATAAACATAAATTTAGCTGAAATGTTCATATCACATTCACACATTTTTATTTGAAACTGGAGATTTTTTTTAATTCTGTTGATGCTAATTCTATACAGTATTTGCTTGTTTAAGTTAGTGCTCATAGATGCAGATATTTTAGCTGTCTGCTTGCCCATTAACACATGTTAAAGCCTGTACAGTAATTCCCATGTGCATGATTAGTAAATAATGGATCTACAGAACTAGGCTGTTCAGCATAGATTGTCAGTCTGCCCAAGTTAACCTTTTGTCTCCATTTTGCACCAGAAAAAAAACCTTTGCAAACCTTACCACTTAAGATTCAGAGGTGAATAAGTAAGGGCCAGTGGGAATTCCACCAAGTTCAGTAAATTGTAGGAACCAGTGGAATTCCAGATTGAATATAGTGAAAGTGGGAACAGGAAATTATGGGTCGAGAGGTAGCACCTAATAAGAAAGTAAAGTAATTCCTTATCAGACTATGCCATCACAGCGAAAGAGAAATGAATTCCATAATTCCCTGTGTCTCTTGGTAATAATAAATGCAGGCTTTCTGTTGGGTCTCAGTCCTCTTGACTGCTGACCCCTTCACTAGTTCACTTAATGACAGGTGGATTACTAATAGCCAATCCTTCATTTGCTGTGACTTGCACATTACTGGTCATTGCATTGTTTTGCTAAAGAAATCCCTTTTTTTCCAGTGCCCTTCCTAATCTAAGTAATGAATAATAGTTCATATTCATAAATGGTTAATTTCTGTTAGGCATGCATAATGGTCAAGAAATAAATAAACTACTTTGATACTCACATACACTTCTTAAAAGTAGTAAAAGGTCTAATGTTGTTATCATTATGAAAATAATAATCAAGTAAAAATATTCCAATACAGATTGTAAAGGTCCTTGTATGCTATTTGTGTGCTCATTAATCACAGTACTATATTTTATGCATGTAGCTCTATTTCATTAACTTTTGACCTGATGTAGGTTTTCTTATACAGGTGAAACTCGAATAATTAGAATATCATGCAAAAGTAATTGCAGTAAGTGCTGCAAAAGGGGCCGAAACCAAGTACTGAGTACATATGCATGCTTGTACTTTTCAGAGGTCCGATATTGTTCTATGTACAATCCTTGTTTTTTTGATTGCATGTAATAATCTACTTTTTTGAGGTTGTGGATTTGGGGTTCTTGGGGTTTTCATGAGCTGTAAGCCATAATCATCACAATTATGACAAATCACGGCTTGAATTATCTTGCTTTGCATGTAATGAGTCTATCTCATATATTAGTTTCACCTTTTAAGTTGCATTAGTGAAATAAATGAACTTTGCACGATATTCTAATTATTCGAGTTTCACCTGTATATGAAGACCTATTTGGGCACTTTAGTTAAATTGGCTCCTATGAAGCTGTATTAATATATACAGCTCAGATATACAAATTATAAATTATAGAATATATAGCATTTAATACACACATATTTATAATAAAAAGGAGTCTCTACATAGAGACACACCAATAATGATGGGCAGTGAGAGGTAAGCACAACTTACTTTCCTCCAAAACTTTGCCTATGAACTATAAGGAGAAATGGCTGTTTCTCACAGAACAGAGCGGTGGCACCTTACTGACTTTTTTCCTGAAAATCGTTTGGTGCAAAAATAGGCTCTTGTTGTCTATCTCTACCTAACCCTCATATAGCGCAGTTGTTAAAAATGATGTTTGAATCTGTTACTGTCATGCCCACGTGAGCTTCACTTGTTTGGGATCACAACTGCAGAGGGGTATTTGACAGGAAAAGGCTACTCATGGTTGGGTCTCAGGCATCACTCGCAATCTGAACGGCGAGTTTGAGACTCAGTCATCACAGCCAAAGCAATAGGTTCAGTATTAAACAATGGCTATTCAACTCATAACCTGCATACTGACACAAGGCACAAACTAAATAATAAACAATGGTTTGCTAAAGGAATCCCAGGATGCGGTTTATCACACAACACAGATAGTCCATGTACCAATGAGGACTTGTATTCAAGTGAGCTAAGCTCCAATAGGAGCAGTACCTGCGGTTTGTGACCAGGTGGTTGCAGCGATGAGTTTGCAGAGCAGAGGGCATCCAATGCACAGCGAGTGGCAGCAGGTCCAGGGATTGGTTTGGCATCCAACGAGGTAGCAGCTTCAGGAGGCAACAGGCGTTCCAACCTCAATTTCGGAATGCCATGTTGCCTCTATGATGCTCTTAAATAGTGCCTGGGCGTGGGAAGGAGCCGCGGTTCGTACCGAACGACTTCCGCGTTCCAGCGTGGAACGCAGCCGCCGCGTCATGAGTATGAACTCGTGCGGCTTCCGCGTTCCACAGTGGAACGCAATGAAGCCGCCGCTGACACAGGCGAACGCGGTCCAGCGGCGTTACAGTTGCTTTGCATGATGTGGTCAGGTTGCATATGGTTGCACATTGCAGATTTACCATTAGGCACAGTCAGCATGTGTCGAAAGGTGAAAGTGGCAAAGAGGCAGGTTTTCCTTCTAGAGCTATTGGTCACACTCTTTATATTTCATTTTAAGTACAAATATGCATCTCATATAAAGTTTTTTTTACACATTATCACTATATCCGTATATATATCTATATATATCTATATATAACTATATATAGATATTTATAAAATCCAGGTTAGAAACAAGAATGCAGGATATTTTGATGTAAAAGAAATTATCTAAGGATGCCAAATGTTGTGTGGCTACAGGTTCCAGTGAGGAAAATCTGTCCCCGGTGGTCACCCTGATGTTTGCTCTAAATGATATTATAATTTTTTATATCATGACAGTATAACAGCAAACAGTAAACAGCATATAACACACTTCTAGCAACAGAGGAGCTCATGTAGTGTGGATAGGGGGTGGGGTTTCATGGGTTATCCAGCAAAGCATTCCTGATGCATGCGCTCTTTTGGACAAAATCTTGATACCCAAATACTCCATGCACCCACAACACAGGAAACAGTAAAAGGACACATGCATGGTCCTCTCTCAATACAAAAACATAGCCTGTATGCTTATTTTTTTCAGCTTTTAGTTTCTGGGTTGTGGAAGATGCACAATTCCAAATTTAAAAAACTTAAACTAATGAAATAAAGTACCACCAACCTTACTGGTGGAATAGAATCTTGCAGATTAGATAATGTGGATGGACTGGGTATAAGAATTTTTATTTTGCAATTACGATTATTTGTCTAGCATGGTGGTAATTGTGTCCTGATTTCTCCTCAGAGGCAGGTACCGAAACAGTTTATGATTAAAAAGCCATTCGTGTTTAGTTTTTTTTAACAGATGTACAGTATATGCAGTTATTTAACCCTGAGAAGCCCACAATCACTGCAAAAGAAATAAATACCTAGTGTCACAAACTGACTAAAGATACACACAATGTGTATTTTTTTTCATTCTGCTGTATGAGAAATATAATTTATTCCTATTTGAAAATAAAAATACATAGTTAGTCAGGCTGAAAAAAGACACATGTCCATCGATCCAACCTATAGAGATATGCAAAAAAAAAAAGAAGAAAAGCCTAAACAGAATGCTATGCCCACAGCTACCCCCTGTTGATCCAGAGAAAGGCAAAAAAAACTTATAAAGCATGGTTCAATTTGCTCCAACAGGGTAAACAAATTCCTTCCTGACCCCATAAGGCCATCGGATATTCCCTGGATCAACCATCTCTGATGCTTAATATACCTATAATAACTCAATATCCAGTAACATTCTGTGTATTTTGGAATACATCCAGATGTTTTTTAAAACAATTAACTGAGATCACTAGAACTAGCTCCAGTGGGAATCTTCCACCTATATCCCCTCCCCCAAAACTAAAAAATAAAAACAATATATGTGTAAATAGATATAGAGATATACTATATATACAGGTCAATTCACTAATACAATAGACTCAGGACTATGCAACATAATAAGGCCTTGTTCACACCAGTGCATTCTGGCTGACTCTGTCTGCTGCTGGCCCCCAGCAAGGGAAAAGGGAAGCTGTTGTGGGCCACTGTAAATTATAGGGCCCGGGGCACCTGACCCATTTGCCCCGCGGTAAAGACGGCCCTGGTTAAACCTCTTTTCCTCCAGACGCAAAGAGTGTCCCCTTGTCCTTTGCAGTAACCGTAAAGTTAATAATTTGGCACCAAGCTCACTATATGGACCATTTATGTATTTATACATGGTGATCATGTCCTCCTTAATCGCCTCTTCTCCAGAAAGAACAATTTCAGGTCAGTTAATCTTTCCTCGTAGCTGTGCTCCTCCATGCCTCTTATGAGTTTGGTCGCCCTTCGCTGCACTTTTTCAAGTTCCACAACATCCTTTTTGTGAACTGAACTGCATGTTCCAGATGAGGTCTTACTAATGTTTTGTACAGGGGCAGGATGATGTATCTATCTCCTGGAGTTTAGACCCCTTTT